GCGGAACGTGCATAGGCCAAGTCCCACAACAGGAAAGTCAATTATGCGCTAGAGAAGCACATCACACAACCCAAGCAAAATGGTTAATCCCGGCCATTAACACTAAGTGGGCCTGTTCCTCCACAGGACTCACCCCTTGCATATCTTTAACAATGTTTAACAAATCCTCAGAGTACTGTGTCCAAGTGATAGTGATCCCCAAAATCTATTTCCACCCCGAGAACTACGTGTACGATTCCATGACTGTCCCAGACCATCACTTAGCAAAGCGAGAGCCCATCACAGCAGTGACCGTAGCCTTACTGATGCTTGCAGGAGGTACCGGAGCAGGTACAGGGATAGCGTCCCTAGTCCGTCAGAACAGAGAATTCAGCGCTCTAAAAATAGCAATAGACGAGGACATAGCCCGAATCGAAGAGTCCATCACAGCTCTCGCAAACTCGCTTAAGTCACTGTCCGAGGTGGTTCTGCAAAATCGCAGAGGACTAGACATTCTGTTCTTACAAGCAGGCGGGCTGTGTGCTGCTCTTAAAGAGGAGTGCTGCGTTTTCGCAGTCCACACAGGGTTAGTGAAAGACACCATGGCCAAGCTGCGTGAGAGATTAGAAAGTCGAAAAAGGGATAGGGAATCACAGGATTGGTTCACATCACTGTTTGATCAAGCACCATGGCTCACCACCTTGCTATCCTCTCTTATCGGTCCCTTTTAGGGTCCCTTTTAGGGACAATACTCCTTTTAGCACTGGTTTTCAGACCCTGCATTTTTAACAAGCTCGTATCCTTTGTTGAGAACCGCCTTAAATCCATCAACATCATGGTGGTCAAACAGTGGCAAATGCTGTAGATAATGCCTTAAACCGAAGTAGTTCCACATAGTTTGCACTAGCTCACAATTCTATATCTCAGTGTTAAGACACTTCTTTCTACCTCTCTAGAACTTCCTTTAAACCACTTGATGAGCCTTAAAAACTTTTGACCTCTATGACCTCTGTGACAATATTTTGCACTTCTTAGATTATAGCCTGCTTTATATGGCATGGAGAGGGGGAAAATGTGGGTAGACAGGGCCTGGCGTTCGGAAGATTTCGGGATGTACGGAAAGAAAGGGACCAACCCCCTCCAATGCCTGTGAAGGAATGTGTTGTCTAAACCTATCAGATCACTCCACAAGTATTCATGGAGAATTGCAAACCCTGAGACAAAGACTTACTCATATCACTGAGAGTGATGCTTGGGGTTTAGATGCTTGGTTGAAAGGATTCGGATTGTCTGGATGGTTACGCTCCATAGTCTTTTATGTTATAGTAGGACTTGTTATCTTGCTTGGGCTTGCAATAATCATTCCGTGCATACTTTCTTGCGTGCAAAAAATGCTTAATAATATGGTTTCACGACTGTGGCAAGTCAATGTCACTCAATTTACAGAAAACGGGGGAACTGTGGAGAATATTGTAGTTCAGTGGCTGCGTGAGAAAGGACACAACCAGCAGGAAATGATCCCTTGGGAAAAGTATTTAGAGTAGCAAAATATTTAAAGTAGCAAAATGCGAGGTCGCTAATGATATCAGGACATCTGGTGTTCTAGCCTTGATGATCAAAGAAGAGACAATGTATAACTTGGTGATCACAGGAGGAACAAAGGGACTTTTAGGAGAACAAAGAAGCATAGATGCTAATAGCCTTGTAGTAAATACAGCCAATCAGCAGCTTGAGTTTTGCAATATGCATGAGCTAATTATGTACCATATATAAGCCTTCTGATTATTGCTAATAAACGAGGCTCAATGGACCAATCTGTGTAAGGTGGTCGGGTCTTCCTTCTCCGACACCTAGGGGTGAAATGGCAAGATAGACGTCAAATTCCAACAGATCAATAAGATCGTAGCAATAACTCCACCAACAAACAAGAAAGAAAGCCAAGCTTTTCTGGGAGCCATAGGCTTCTGGAGGATGCATATCCCTGAGTACAGCCAAATTGTAAGCCCTCTTTACTTTGTGACCCGTAAAAAGAACAACTTCCAGTGGGGTCCTGAACAACAACAGGCTTTCAGGCAAACCAAGCAAGAAACTGCACATGCTGTGGCTCTTGAGCCAGTCAGAACGAACCCAAATGTAAAGAATGTACTTTACTACTGGAAATAAAGGTCCTTCCTGGAGCCTCTGGCAAAAAATGCCTGGTGAAATGTGAGGGCGACCACTTGATTTCTAGAACCGAAACTACAGAAGTTCTGAAGCCAATTACACCCCTATGGAAAAAGAAATCTTAGCAACATATAAAGACATACGAGCAGCCTCAAAAGTGATTGGTACCAAAACACAACTCTTCCTGGCACCCCGATTACCAGTGCTGAACTAGATGTTCAAAAATAAAGTACCCTCTACGCATCATGCCACTGATACCACATAGAGCAAGTGGATGATTTTGATTACACAACGTGTCCGAATGGGAAACTCGAATCGCCCTGGAATTTTGGAAATTATAACCAATTGGCCTGAAGGTGGGAACTTCAGTCTAGCAGATGAAGAAGAAGAAGAAGAGCCAGTGAGTCGAGCTGAAGAAGCTCCGCCATATAATCAGCTGCCAGATGAAGAGACACGCTATGCCCTTTTCACTGACGGTTCTTGCCGCATTGTAGGAAGAAGATGGAAGTGGAAAGCAGCTGTGTGGAGTCCCACCCGACGGGTGGCGGAAGCCACTGAAGGTAAAGGTGAATCGAGTCAGTTTGCAGAACTCAAAGCTGTCCAATTGGCCCTGGACATTGCAGAAAGAGAAGTATGGCCAAAGCTCTACCTATACACCGATTCGTGGATGATAGCCAATGCCCCATGGGGATGGCTAGACAGGTGGAAGAAAATGAATTGGAGACGTAGAGGAAAACCCATCTGGGCTGCCGATTTGTGGCAAAACATCTCTGCCAGAGCAAAGAAACTGAATGTGAGAGTCCGCCATGTAGATGCCCATGTACCCAAGGATTGAGCTAATGAAGAACATGCTCACAACAGACAGGCAGGCTGTGCTGCACAAGTCGAGGTGTCACAAGTAGACCTAGACTGGCAGCAAAAGGGAGAGTTGTTCCTAGCTCGATGGGCCCATGATGCTTCAGGCCATCAGGGCCGAGATGCCACCTATAGATGGGCACGAGACCGAGGGGTGGATATAACCATGGACACTATTTCCCAGGTTATTCATGACTGTGAAACCT